ATCGTTCAAATATCTCGTGAATACATTTTCAATTGAATAATACATTAGGACAAACAATTTTTACAGTGCGAACATGCAATTATCTTGTAAGTTATGTCAGACAGTAATCTCGATATTTCAAATAGAAGATAATTAAAATAAACTTTATAAATTTTGTAACATAATTGCAGCGCATTTACAGTAAGCGGCAAGTTATAATTATACGAATGATACATATATGGCAAGAGAAGGCATCATATGTTCGTGAATGTTTCAATACGTGTTGTATTATATATGTTACAAAATTATATAGTTGTCTTTCTATATAGGGACCATCCTTCAGTATACATGATGTACACACACATATATACATAAGTATATATATATATATATATATATATATATATATATATATATCATGTTACATACGTATATGTGCACATGTCTGTACATAATATATATTTTTCAAAAAAAAAAAAACATTATAGGATATTCTGTATATATAGAGAACTAATGGAGACGTAATATCGGTGAGCATAGCATTGAAACATCCTCCTCTATAGACAATATGACACTTATTCGCACGACAGCGCATATTATATATAATCCTTTCCGCCGTCACTATTGAAGACGTGACTACATGTCAGCCTCTCGACGAAACATACCTATTACAAAACGAAAAGACGAAGCAAAATTCGTTGAGTTGTTGGTACGTATTGCACAAATACACAATTGGTATCACAAATTGACTCCAACGTATGCGAGCCAAACACTTCGTCGTCGCACGCAATCTGTTTCACGGGAACGAGAAGCAGCATGCGAAACAGGAGGATAAATGGAATGTATCTCGCGTTTAGAAAAGTATAAACAAATAAGCTGCTCCTACGACGTTTTAAATGCTCCGATAATCTAAATGTGAGTAATTCTAAATGTAAGTATATCAGCTCGTTGTGCATTAGCTGAAAAACGTAAGACGTAAGAAAAATAAGCGTTCAACGGTCAGTGTAAAATTGATTGCGTGTGACATACGCTTAACTAAAGGTTCTTATTTCCTAATATGAAACTTTCCTTACGAGGATAATACCTATCCGAAATAATACTTAATATTTTGCTAACGCGATTATCTACATATAACACAAAATTAAAGATTTTTGGTTTTTTTGCATTACGCTAAACAATATTAAATAAGTTCTCTATGCAAAACTGGACCAACGCAGGCAGTGTGTCACTACGGTAGAATTGCATTGATGATACTGGCACAGTGAGGCAATGACCTTCGGATTCTCTCTAAATAACTAAGAGTAATTATTAACATCTTTATCTGGAAAACTATATAATCATTTACGTCGCGTAAGTAATTATTTTGTTTATCCTATACTAGAGATGGGTGATACAGTCTGAAAGTATCGTATCGATACGCATTATGAATGAAAATATCGTCCATCTCTATTCTATACCATCAATCACTTCCACTTAATTCCTATACACGGAAAACTAATATTGCAGACCAACATTTAAAAAATAAAACTTTTAAGAAAGAAAACATGTTGCTACAGCATCTCGACAATATTGCAA